GTCCCACCTTCCAACCCTCAACAGGCGGCTGTTACTACCTCACCCACCTCCACCCTCACCACCCCTCACCCACCCTCCACCCTCGCTCGCCTCTCCCCCTCAACCAGGGCTGTCACTACCTCCAACCCTCATCCTCGCTCCCCTCGCTCGCCTCTCACCTGGAGATGTGTTCGAAGCCTAGCCTCACGTAGAGCTCGCGTCGCACGGTGGCCGTGAAAGTCGTCACGAGGCAGAGCACCGTGGCGCCGGCGAACAGCACGTTGTAGGAGAGCACGACGCGAAAGTTGCCGAGCCAGTCGATGCGACAAAGTCGCGAGAAGGTCGAAGTTCGTGATGCTACAGCGGCGGCGGCGGCGGCGCGGGAGAAACGAAAGTGATCAATGGACGTGCAAGCATGCATGAGCGCGGTGTCTCTCGATCGCTCACCCAGACAGCGGGACAGCACACATATGCCAGCACTTACACAACCGCACCCTTCATCACTCACATAGAGACACCGCACCCTCCATTACTCACCCAGACTACGGGACACCACCATTCCAACGTGCGTGCTGTCCCTCACCAAGACAGTGGAACAGCATGTGTTCCATCACTCACCCAGACAGCAGGACAGGACTCCATTACTCACCCAGACAGCAGGACAGCACTCCATTACTCACCCAGACAGCGGGACAGGACTCCATTACTCACCCAGACAGCGGGACAGGACTCCTTACTCACCCAGACAGCAGGACAGGACTCCATTACTCACCCAGACAGCAGGACAGCGACTCTATTACTCACCCAGACAGCGGGACAGGACTCCATCACTCACCCAGACAGCGGGACAGGACTCCATCACTCACCCAGACAGCGGGACAGAGACTCCATCACTCACCCAGACAGCAAGACAGGACTCCATTACTCACCCAGACAGCAGGACAGGACTCCATCACTCACCCAGACACAGGACAGGACTCCATCACTCACCCAGACACCGGGACAGGACTCCATCACTCACCCAGACAGCAGGACAGGACTCCATCACTCACCCAGACAGCGGGACAGCACCGGCAGAGCAGAGCTGAGCACATAGCAGCACGATGCAGTTGCCGATGATCTGAGTCATCGTCGTGTCGTTGACGCGCGGACGCAGACGCGAGAACAGCGGCAGACTGTACAACCCGACCAGGGACGCCAGCATGAAGTATCTATTGTCACAGAGGTCAAGGTCAAGGTCAAAGTCAAGGTCAAGGTCAGTAGTTATAATTGGCGTGTGCCCGGGGAAGTGTTCCAGGCACCAGGAGATTGATGAATGCTGTTTTAGACTACGAACGCTATTTTTACAATGACCAAGCCATCATCATCCTAACTGTGACCCTATTGTGCTGACTGTCACCGATCCGTCTGCTGCACGTGCTACTGTCAACACTGTACTGCTACTCTCCCTGTCACTGATATTGTCATTGTCACTGTCAGCAACACTGTTACCCTCCCTGCCACCCTCCCTGTCACTGATACTGTCATCGTCATTGTCGGCACACTGTCACCCTCCCTGTCACTGACACTGTCATCGTCAGTGTCATCAATGCTGTTACCCTCCTTGCACCCTCCCTGTCACTGATACTGTCATCATCACTGTCGCCAACGGCTGCCACCCTCCCTGTCCCTGACATTGTCATCATCACTGTCACCACACTGCCATCTCCCTGTCCCTGACATGGTCATCGTCACTGTCCAAACACTGCCATCCTCCCTGTCACTGACATGGTCATCGTCACTGTCACCAACACTATTACCCTCCCTGCCACCCTCTCTGTCACTGGCACTGTCAGGTGTCATATGTCACTGTCACGATGCTGTCATCGTCACTGTCACCGTTATTGCAAGGATACATTATGAGGATGATCTCCACGGCCGCTCCCACTGGTCCAAACGCAGACAGCGATGCGTCGCCAATGTTTGATTTGCTGCGAAAACAACAAGTGCCGCATAGCGACAGCGCTCATCTAACGTCTACTGCGGTGACTCTGTGGTGGAGTGTGGGATTCTAGTAAAACCTGTTAGTCCCAAATGTGTTCACATACACGCCGAAATAGTGGAATGCCACAGAGATGGTATCAGGAACCTTCTCACAAAGAATGTTCGTTGGGATCGTTATGAAAGTTGCCACGAGATGGCGTGTACGTTTAAGTGTCTTCAGATTAAAATGGAAGCTCCCATCATTCGTAGTAGCAACAACTATTTGCAAGACAGAATCTAGGTAAGCACTCATCCATTTACCTACGCAGCCTACAGGCTGCAAATTGCAATAGAGAGCTGCCACCTGTAACCAATTAATGCAGGCAAAAACTGCCCCAACACATGCACAGCACTGGCAGTGGCATACGTGACATGTAACCAACTGACAGTACAGAATGACATAGAAATTATACGATTTTAAGGAATATACACCTTCTTTAACCAAAGATTAGCTTTTGAAATTTCACTGTGACATTGTAGCCTCATACATCCAGGCATGTATAGATTCTACTAGCAAACCCGGCAGTTAAATTCTTTCAAAGACAGTCAAAAATCCATGTTTAACCCTCCTCTTGAGGTAGGGGAGGGGGAGCGGTAGGGGAGGGGGTGGGGAAGGGGTGGGGGGAGGAGGCGTTGGTGGGAGGGAAAGGGGGAGGTGGGGCGGAGGAGGCTCTAATAGCAAAAAGCAGTTCACTCCTTTGTTAACAGTCAACAAATCCATGTTTAACCCTCCTTTGAGGGTCAAAAGCGTTATCCGACACTTACTCTTCGCATGTCAGCAGAAGGGACATTTCATGTCCCTTCAATAAAGCCATAAAAATGCTAAGTCACCGCTGAAACAAAATAAGATTTTTCAATCGCTCCGTCAGACCATGTCCTCAGAAAATGTCTAAAATCTGCCCTGTGCCCACTGACCTTTGACCTGTGACCTCCAATTTCGCACAGTGATGCGCTTTTCCTACCATGATGCTATACACCGACTATCGACGACCTTAGGTCGAGCCGTTTAGATTTTGCAGCCGCAATTATGCATTTCCTCCCTATACTTAAGTTAAGGAGTGAATGTTCCCCTTCTTTTACCCTCTTGACCTTTGACCTTTGACCCCCAGCTTCGACATCCCAACTCGTTTTTGACGATCCCCCCTCGATGTGCGAATATCGTGACCGTACGTCGAGCGGTTAAGATTTGTGCCAACTGTTGACGCACGGGACGGTACGGACGCACGGACGACCGGGACGATCAAGCGATTCCTACAAGCTGCATCTTCATGACATGTCAGATGAGCTAAAACATCTTCCAGTCAGCAGCAGCCAGCAGCGAGCCAGCTGTTATACACATGTATACATGTTACACGCTCGCGGAGGTATGCACTCTCTTTGAGTGCCGTCTGTCTAGTTTCAACTGTTATGGAGAAAGATATTCACCTATATAGCAGAGTTTATCAAAGTAACTCCTGCACTGTCAATATGTAACTAACTGAAGATAGCCGATAGCTAACGAATAATGGCATGTCAAAACACCTGTAGGTGTGCGCTTTGTGATACAGGGATTGCAAGTGCAACAGCCGAGGCATGTTCCCGTGAACTGTCGTCGCGACATCACACGTCCGCAAATTACATCCCAACGCAATCATTAAACTCGTTCCGAGATATGATTCACTGCATTAAAAACATAGATAGCTAGACCGGGTTTATCTTGTGCAGTTGCACCACGATACTCCTAGCTCGTGCTAAAAATCATAAACCACGTCATATTATATCAATCATATTATATTGTAGCAATTTATACACGCATTATTGTTGTTGATGTTGTTGTTGTTGTTGTTGTTTTTGTTGTTGTTGTTCTTCTTCTTCTTCTTCTTCTTCAACTTATTATTATTATTGCATTTATTATTATTATTATCATCATCATCATCATCATCCTTATACAATAACTAGTATTTATAACCGGGATGATTAAAGTGGAATTTTACAACACATAGCACGTCTCAAAAACATGAAAGTTTGAGTCTAAGCAGCTTATGACAGCCGACCTGCCAACCCAACCTACAAAGTGCACTCGCATACTTACACGATCCTGTAAACGATGAAATCCTCATCATCTGAAAAAAGACAAGTGACAAGAATATCAGCATCTTTGCATCGACATCTGCTACGAATACAGATATACTCGGACAGTGACGCTGAGCAAAAAGCGGGATGCAAAACCTGAACGCATTCGATTTGAGGTTTTCCAGGCTTCAACTTTACGTTACCGAGCTAAGTTCTCTGCTCGGCGAGCAAGGCCATGGTCACATGGTCTGGCTTATGCAGTAGCCCTGGCAATTGGTAGCAAGATCAAGTCCACTACCTCCCTCACCTCACCACGCTCACACTACAGCACACACACACACACACACATATATATATATATATATATATATAATATATATATATATATATATATATCAATACAGTAATAGAGTACATAATGGGAGATGTATAAAATAAAGAGATCTCCCATTATATACTCTTGATAATATGCTACAGCACATAGATATTAGGGGTGCACCGGAACTCGGATCCGGCCGGAACTATCTGGCCGGATCCCCAATTTTTCAGAGTTCCGGTTCCGGCCGGAACCCTTCAGGAACAGGCGGCCGGAACCGGAACTTTTTCCTAATTTCATTTCTGCTACAATTAAGCGTCATTAATATCAAAAGATTAGTCACTTAATGTAGTTGAGAGTCAATAAAGTCAACTTGCTGACAATACAGTGTTAACAACTTCACACTATTCCGCCCAAAAAACGCTTGCCACTTGTTCACATCGGCTAACTAACTGAACTGAACCTAACTGATGTTAGGTGATTCACGAGATTTTCTTTTCAAAATAAAATAAAATACTCTTAGAGCCACAGGAATGGCATCTGTCTGTTAGTTAAAAATAATCAACTAAAACCAGGAAAACTGCAACATGCAGGTTTTGCCACAGAATTTGCTCGCGAATAAGATGTCAGAATTATGCACTGTAAGCAGATGACTCATAACAGTCATTAAAAATATAATTAACTCTCTAATTTAATTAACCCTAACCCTAACCCTAACAACCATCCTGTAATTAGAACTTTGAGCATTAATTGTCATACTCCCCTGGGTGATGTGCCTGCTAATAATATTTCGTTCAGGCCGAATGAGTTCGCGCAATAGTGGGCCAAAACTGTCAAGTTTATTCCCAGCTTAAGTTCCGGTTCTGGCCAGGTAGTTCCGGCCGGAACTTTTT